ACCGATAACGACCTGAGCTCCAGCCACCGCGACATCAGTGGCCTTGGCATGACCAGCACCAGCTTCTCCAAGACTGGTTCTCCCCTGGCATCGAGCCCATCTCGGTTTGGTGCATTGTTTGCAAAGCAGCGCCAGCGCAAGGAAGAGGAATCACATGGCTCTTCCTCTTTCCACATCGGCTCTCCTCTCCGTGAATCATCGCTGAACCCAATCACCAGTCCTAGCTTGGGACCCATTGGCAGTAGCCGAGCATCCCACGAAGGGCCATCGTTCCTCTCGAGTCCTGGACGTCAATCCTCAATGTCGATGATTTCTGAACAGCTCGGCGGGATGGGCCTTCACCCTGGCTCTGCTCGCCAGTCGTCCGCCGGTCATAGCGGCCGCCTTGACCGAATTATTTCCTCTCCTGTCAGCACAAGCAAGATCGAAGAGGAAGAGCAGAGTGACCTGGTCTTCGACATGGAGGAAGAGGTCGGCAATAAGCAGACCAGTGCCTCATGGAATGAGAACAAAGAAAGTTCCTCCTAAACTGCTCCTCTTTGTTACAATCAATTTCATCACGATACGTCAAGTCCAATTCCAACATTGGGAAATGTTCATATTCACCAAAAAAAAAACACAAAAGGATATTGGAGTTCAATTGGGCAACATACATGAAAGAGACAAAACAAAAAGATGATCCAAGACAATACATCCCTTTCTTTCTCTCTCCAAGTGCGATATCTGATTCGGCAAAAACAGAAGGTGACTGAAAAAAAAAACAAAGGAAAAAAAAAAAAAGGCTTCACAGCCCTCTCATCATAGACTGGCCTTTAGCATCATCTGCCTTGTTTTATTCCTTCATTTGGGATCATCTAGACCAGTCATATGTGTTTCTCATTGCTGGGCTTTCAGAGAACTTCTCTGAACAGCCATCCACTGTATTAATCTCTGCTTTCCCTCTGTTTTTATTCGTTTCTATTTCTGGATATCGCAGTGTACCTGGGTTGACATATCCCAACTTTCCCCCCCTTCATATTTGCTTTTGTTTCATGATTTCACGACCACTGCGATCTCTGGTGTTTCTGAGGTGCTTCTTGTCTACTTCTCCCTTGTTCTTTGTCCCCTACTGTCGGATTATGTGATCCTGGTTCTCAGGACTGCAGATATGTAAAAATTGGAGATGTGTCAATAAACAATTCCTTGATACTTTTGTAATCATTCAGTAGATCCATGGATAGTCATCCAGTGGATATATTGAGTAGTTAGTTATATAGTTCTCTTATGACAACACTTTGATATTCAAAGTTGCCGAGGGTTAATGACAGCTAGATTCGGGTGGCAACTGTACCAGACAAAGCCTAGTTACATATCCTTCTTATTAACATATGCGATTTACAAGTATATGAAAGACAAAAATTAGAATCATTCCATGTTCTACCTAACCATACATATCCCTAAACTAAAATAAGACGCCTCGAAGATTACACCTTTTGGAATTGAACCATGAAACCACGCCAGTATGTTCCCCTTCTTCTAACTAAGCCTCATCCAGGTACAAAGCAGTACCCTTCAAATTGACCAAACCCTCCCTCGTAGACTGAGACTGAATATGCTCCGTCTGTTCCATAGCCTGGCGATCCGCCAAAGAACCACGCTCCCGTGTTTTATCAAGATCCATAGCATCATCATCCTGAGTCAGATGAACAGATCCATAGAGCTCATCCGTACCCGTAATGATGCGCTGCACTAACGTCTCAAACGCCTTACCGGTAAGTGCCTCAGCACGGCCTGTAAGCTTGGTCTCCGCCTCAGCGCGCTGGCGCTTCGCAGCTTTCTCACGTTCCGTTTGCTCATCTGCTAGCTTGCGTTTCCTCTCTTCTACTTTCTTCTGGTGCTCCTCCTTGGTAGCGAGATATTTGAGGGAATGACCGAGCTTCTGCGTAGAGGGCGGGATGAAGTCCACCGGCGGCGCGGAGAAGAAGAGCACGCGGCCGTGGTCGTCGCAGTGGAATTGCTCACGGATGTCTTCTGGAATAGCAGCGTTGGCTGCGTCGCTCAGGTGGAAGACTTCCACAGGCCGCGGTGCGTTGGGGTTATACACGGCTGGCGGGGCTTGCATGCGGTTTTGGGGGTAGCTGTTGTAGGGAGATGGCTGGGGCACTGAGTATGGCTGGGTCGCTGGTGAGGCCTGGTATGCGCCTGCCTGAGTTTGTGGCGTGGCGAGGTTGCTTGCGCGGCGTTGGAGGGATGCTGTAAAGGCTTGGGACGGGGTCATTTGGTGGAAGCCTGGTGGGCGGATAGGGGCGGGAGTGGTGTGTATGATGATTGGGGGTGCTGGGGAACGTGTTTGGAGTGCAGCAGTACCTGGGCTCATAGCTGATCTAGGGAGTGCTTGGCTCAGTGATTGACGAGGTGCTACAGACTGGGGTAAGGAAGGAGGAGGCGGGGATGGTGTTGGCTCGGGTGGTGGAGATTCCTAATGTTGTCAGCTTACCAGAGTCTTTTCTCATGTCATAGAAAAAAGGACTTACATTCTCATCTCGTGGACGGCGGTGAACAGCGCCGGCAACAGGGGGTGCATTGTCAGTTCCCCAGGTCGGCCGAGGAAGATCATCGGTCTCTTTGGAATCCTCTTTCAGAAGATGCTTGATCGGACTAGGGATTTTCTTGATCTTGCGCGGCACATCAAAAAGATCCATTTCGTAGTCTTTCTCTCGAACTTCATCGGGCAGACAGCTGGCCCATGTCTTGATTTTGTTTAACTTGTGTTTCTCCTCATTGTAGCGAGCCTCGCACACGTAGATTTCCTTATCCGGTGCGAGATCCCTTGGACGACCACGGCTGTAGCGGGTGAAGAACATAACGAAGCAGCGATCGACAATCTCATCAATCCGGTGGTCTCGGTATTGCCCAGTCTTCACAACCTCATTGGGGTAGAAGTGTTTCTCAAAGTGATGCACTGTCTGCTCAGGACGGTAATACCAACACGCGTTTATCCATTTTTCTCCATCGGAATCCTGCCAGGTTCGGTATATCTGCGCAACGATGGGCTTGGTCACATCGTTTTGATTTTGGATATGAACCCAGTCGCCAACCTTCCACAGTTCACCGCGGTGGAGGATACCATCAGGGAGTGGGAAGCGTCCATCTTCCATCAGGAACTCGCTATCAGGCTTCTTCTTTTCTTGCTCAGCCAACTTCCGTGACTCGGTTTGTAGATCAACCGCATCCTTGAAGATCTGACTGTCGGACTGGTTGTAAGCCTTGGCATTTTCGAACATGAGATCAAGATCGCGCATGAAATGATCGACGGAGTTGTACTTCTTGCGCTTGGACTTGCGCTTGATAATATCTATGGCGATGGGTTCCTTCGTCTCCATGTAGTAGTCTGGATAAGCGGCTTTGTCAGGGAGACGTTCAAAGTGTGTGATCTTCAGGTGGCCACCAGCGCCTTTGAATTTCCGAATTCCCTTTAGAATTGTCTTGATGCGGATTTCCATAGGTGTGTCCACACGGGGAGGACGGCCTCGTTTCTTACGCAGGTCGGGTTCGTGTTTTTGAGTCAATCCACGCTTGAAGCCAGGCTTAGGACCAGGCTTCTTCCTTCGTCGGCCATCATCCTCAGAGTCGTCGTCCTCGTCTTCTTCTTCCTCCTCTTCTTCCTCGTCATCATCGGGCAGCGGATCGGCCTCTGGGATCTCTCCAAGATCGGGCAGTTCTGCCTCATCAGCGGGGATCGCGCCCTGGGCGGCCAACTTTCTGAACTCGGCGGCGAAAACTTCCTATCAATTGTCAGATGAATTCTTAAGGTGGCGGAATTTACTTGAACATACCCTGATAACCAGTGCATCTTCGTAGGCCTGTGATTTAGGTCTATTGTATGTTTGTGCATTGTGCGGGATCTAGATTGTTAGCTAGTTGCAAAACCTGGAGGGGCGCAATCACTCACCAAGGCGCAATCGCGGACAAATTCAGAAAAGTGCTTATATTCCCGTTTGTTAATGCGCGCTTTCAAAATACTTAGGGCCATCGGCTCCTTGATGATATCGTAGTAGTCGGGAACATAGCGCTTGTTGACACTGCGATGGAATAATCGCGACGGGTCATGACCACTGCGCAAGATAATAATCAGCCATGGATCAGTGCATATCTCAGGGTCAATCGCACTCCTCTTCCCGATAGTCATAAATTGCCATGACCACATCCATCATCAGTTTCCAAGTTTCGCGGGTGATCGCACCGTCATTCTCGATGGAGTTAACGGGTTGTTCACGTGGGGGTTGCGATAGCTCTTTCTCGGACTCCATGTCGTTGGCGACAAGCGCGTTTCCACGCAACGGTAAATTTGGCAGTCGCTGAGATCAAAGAAATCCAAGTAAGTAAGCCAGCATTCAGGTAAGACAGTTGGGAAGCCTTTGAGAGGTCGGAGAATGTTTTACAAGCGCGTGAAGCTATTGCTGACTCAGCGACCATTTTACGTTACGTTACAGTAATTTCATGACGATAGCCTCACATTAATTCATGTTCATGAAAAGTGTCAACTGGTGTATTTCAAAGGACTCAATCGTGTTACTTCTACTCCATATTTGCATCTCTTCTATGGGTATCTATGATTCATGGCTGTCTACTGTGGCTGGGGTTGGAATTGTCACCAAGGCAACGTACATTCAATATACCTACAAAGTATGATAGCTCTTCAAGGCTATGATTGCTATGATTGGCTTAGTACCTGGGTAGTATGTATCACCCCGTTTGCAGTAGTCTTTGCGACTTTAATGCCTTGGATCTGAAGGAATGGAGAACTGATTCTTATATGTATTCTACCTCTTCTCACTTCCCAAAAAAAGGGGAGTCTTGTACCATTTGGCTTGCATCGCAGCCTCAGGTATACCCAGTATATACCCCACATGGCAAGTCGTCATATCTTCCTATCAGTGGAACTTCCAACGTTCTTAAGATCGCCCACCTCATAATTCCCAAACCTCTCTCTCTGCCTCTTTCGGACTTTATCACATATAATGAGAATCAGAGTCCGTGGGCCTTTGGGTCAGTCGACTGTTACCCTGGACGACTCCGCAACCATCAAAGATCTCCAAATCCAAATTGCGGAGAAGACTGGCCTTGCTACCTTTAACGTCAAATATGGATACCCCCTCAAACCACTCAAGCTTGACAGCTTCCAACCAGATCAAGGGATCCTAGAAGCTGGGATAAATTTGAATGGAGAGTCACTCATCATCGCACAGAAAGAGGGTGCCACCCGGGGCGTGAGCGACGATGCACCAACAACCCGAACAGCGCCGTCGCAACCATTACAACCATCAATGTCGCAAACGCCACAAGAAAACAACGCCAAAGACCCGCCAGAAATCGCGTCCCCAGAACATGCTGGGACGTTTGTTCTCCGGGTAATGCCCGACGACAACTCGTGCCTCTTCCGAGCAGTGGGCGCTGCAGTCATGGACAATATGGATACGATGGTTGAGCTACGATCAATCATCGCAGGAGCTATTCAATCGAATCCAACAGAATATACAGCAGCAATTTTGGGCAAAAACCCCGACGAATACTGTACCTGGATCCAGAACGAGGACTCGTGGGGTGGCGCCATCGAACTCAAGATTCTCAGTGAATACTTCAATATCGAGATATGCTCCATCGATGTACAAACTCTGAATATGTTCCAGTTTAATGAGGGAGCACCGACACGGTGTATTGTGGTGTACTCAGGGATTCACTACGATGTCCTCGCGCTATCCCCCTCTCGCCCGCCCTATACTCGTGCCAACCCACTGGCGCACAACGATGTAAAGATCTTTGAGGCGTTTGATCCGGTTGTTTTGCAAAAGGCTAAAGAATTGTGCCGGGTGCTACAAGACAAGCACTATTACACGGACACTTCTGGGTTTACTGTTCTCTGCAACGTCTGCGGAGGCACATTCACTGGAGAGAGAGGTGCTGCGAAGCATGCTGCGGAGACCGGGCATTACGATTTTGGAGAGGCGAGCTAGCATTACATATAGCATAGATAAGCATAATTCGGGATTGTCTGAAGTCATATGAAGGCTGTTTCATTGTCATAAATAAAGTAGTATGCTGTATGGCATAAAACCGATCTCACATATCGTACAAATAATCTTGGGTCTCATAGCATGGAAACCTCATCTGCATCCTCCTCCTCCTCCTCCTCCTCCTCCTCCTCCTCTCCCGATTCTGCGCTTTCTTCTGGATTGCCTCCCCATTCCACATCATGGTGCACGGGATCCGTAAAGAATTCATGCTGCAAAGCATCCGCGGCACTGAGGCGCTTAGACGGGTCCAATTCCATCAATCCAGACAAGAGGCGTGTTGCTTGCTGCTCACTTTCTGTCAAATCTTCCACACAGCTGGACCATTTCACTAGTTTCTCCCAGCTGTAGCCTTTCTCGCCGATGGTTGGGATATTTGTTTCAAAAATCTGACCATGCATGGCTGCGGCGGTCTTCATGCGTTTAGTACCAAAGATGCTCGACATTTCGATCATCGCATCGATATCATCGGCAGAGTTGAAGAAGGGGAACCGACGTCCCAACAAAGTTAAAAGAATGACACCCACTGACCACATGTCAATCTTTGTGGTCTGTGATGTGCATTTAAAGAGAACTTCCGGAGCTCGGAAGCCTCGAGTTCCAGCGCGGTTTGCTCGTCGTGATGGTCGGGAATCATTCTTGGGGTATCCAGCTGACAATCCTGTGGATGGGGGATTCTTGGAGTAGTAGCTTGAAAGGATCCGGCTTCGCCTGACATAGTTTTGATGAGTACATAGACATGGGCTGGTATATTCCGAACCTTGGCGCTATTGTGACAGTCAGTAAGCGCATCAACATATGGCAGCCACAAATCATACCTCTGCAAGCCCAAAGTCAACCAGGACACCTTCTTTCAGGTCTGGATTGTAGAGGAAGTTACTAAAAGGCGTTAGCATAATCCATGTCACCGGGAATGACACGCTTACGTCGGCTTGATATCACGGTGAAGGATATCATGGTCATGTACCGAGTTCAAGGCGGTCATGAGAGATCGTAGATAATGCCGCATGTCTGCAACCATGAATGTGCGATATTGAACGCGAAAGTCGGTATGAGGAAAATAGGGCAATACAGCAACCACTTGGTCCTGGTATCGGAAAGCAGTGATCAGCGGGCAGACAGACCCGCATCCTCGGAGATCATGCAGCAGTTCTAGCTCATTCTGAATCCGTAGCGGGCTGCTTGTGACATAGATCTTCTTCAACGCGACGAATTTCGCTTTTTTCCGTCCGGTTGGCTCGCCTTCAACTCGCCGTCGTTTGGTTGGAGGCTCCACATAGGTCTCTTGGGCTGGTGTTGAGACATCCCAGTCGTTTTGGTGTGCATCATAATGAAGGTCCTCAGCTTTGTAGACCGTGGAGAATGTACCTATGAGGGTCAACAATGAAGCCCGCCAATAACGACAGAACCAGCCATACCTTCTCCGATCCTATTCACCAGACGAAACCGATCTGAGATTCCCGGGAATGTGTCTTCGAGCTTTCTCATATCATCCCTGACTGATTCGTCTACCTCTTCTTCATAGTCACTCTCATGGGCCATATCACTTTGTGAGACAGGTTCATCATCATGTCTTAACAAGTATTTGTGTTTCGATTGTGGCTCATGGAAGGAGCTGCTGCGCTTTAGCTCAAACACGCCCGGGGCAGCGCGGAGGGACATAGTGGCACGGAAGGCAATGAGAATTCTATGATTTGGACCTGCTGAGTAGCGAAATGGAAACGAAAAGTCATAAGATCATGTCGCGTGTACAAAGTAGGTCAAGGTGAAGAAGAATATCGCAATCAAAATATGTCAACAATTACCACACGCGGTGACAATCATGACAATACAATTGCCTGGCAAATCAATCAATACAAGGCGGTATGAGAGGGGTTTGCAACATTAGCGGTAAAAAAATGACTGGGTGCTTACATAAGATGGACCAAAAATGGCAAAAACCAAACAAATGGAGCTTATCAACAAATCAGTTTTCCTCCCCGCTTTCACCTCTTTTTCTCCTTCAACGCCCGCTATAATGGAGGACAGAATACAATTCAACATAAATGAATCACTCAAGTATTATTTGAGTGATCCTGCTTCGATCCCGACTCCTGATGCGGACCCGGAACTGCTAGATTGCGAATCGGATCCTGATCAACTTTCACCAGCGCTGATTGACAGCATCTTGAACCCGATTGTGGATGCCGTGGCAGAGAACCCCGAAGCATTAACACGAGCATCATTATTTGACTCCCTACAATTTTTGCTAAAGTGCGCACCGGTCCCTTCCCAACTTGCCCATGGAGGCTGGCGCCCGCCTGGACTCGAATCTGACGATCCTTTTCACTCTTGCAGATACGCGACCCTTCTTCCCGCAAAGTACTTGAGCAAACTTTTGGATTTGGTTGTCTCTGGTCTATCTGTCGAGGCAGACATCATCCATGGAGACCTTGAATCCGACGAGCAGGATGCCATTCAACACCACAAGCAGCTTCTGGAGATGTATGGGTTCCTTCTCCAGTGGGCTTTGTCTGCTGTAGAGGTCAAGGCTGCAGAGAAACCAACCGAAGCAGCACCCGTGCGACGAGGAGGACCCAAATCCAAGAAATTCGCCAATAATGGCCAATGGGATTGGACACCCCAGATCCAAATGTCTATGGAGACTATGTGCAAGGTGATGAAGCTTAAGCTAGGACGCATTTTTTTGACTACTTCAGATCGTGATACTTTTATTACCCTATTCACGCGCACAATCTACCTGGTCCTTGAGAGCGAGCAGCGGGTGAAGAGTATGGCCATTCGCATGCATGCTTTCAAGGTTCTTTGCATCGCAGTTAAGCATCATGGCCAGGCCTTCGGTAGGTGTCCTGATGCATATTTCGGTTGAGCGATGGCTGACTTGTAGTATAGGAGCTCAAACTTCGATTGTGCAGAGCTTGACTTACTTTGAGCATCTCTCTGAACCCATGGCCGAATTTCTCCATATTCTGGCAGAACAATACGACTATCCACAGCTTTCTGACGAGATCCTGAAGTGAGATTATATCAGTCAACTGGCCGGACGGATAATTGCTAATTTTATATGTAGGGAGCTCGGAAACAAAGAGTTTAATTCTAATGATACGAGAGGCCCCAAGTCTGTATCGACCTTTATTATTAAATTGTCCGAGCTTGCACCCAGATTGATCATCAAGCAAATGACCCTTCTGGCCAAACAGCTAGATAGCGACGTGTGTGACACTTTCCATTTTCCTGAGGCTCCACTGACAAGTTCAGGCATATACTCTCCGCTGTGCAGTGATCGAAGTCTGCGGAAATCTCATTTCCGACCTCAGCCGACAGGAAGAGCGCAGTGATAACTATAAGACCCAGATCAACGCCTTTTTTGACGTACTAGAAGAAAGATTCCTTGATATCAACCCTTACTGCCGCTGTCGTGCGATCCAGGTGTTCATGCGAATCTGCGATCTGGAGCAGAAGTTCCCAAAGAGACGACAGGCTGCAGCAGAACTCGCCGCCAGGAGCCTGGAGGATAAGAGCAGCAATGTGCGACGCAACGCAATCAAACTGTTATCTAAGCTCGTTTCCACACATCCTTTCAGTGTGATGCATGGTGGGCTCCTCTCATACAAGGAGTGGGCAGATAGACTGGATGTGGTTGACGCCGAGTTGAATTCCCTGCGTCCTCCTGAAACGCCCGGCTTCGGGGCAGGCGACATGACTCAAGTTGACCCCGAATTGTTGGATGATGCCACACAAATCCCGGATGATTCTCCATCGAAAGCGCCCCGGATGAGCGATGAAGAGAAGGCTGCTGCTGTGCAGAAAGCCGCAGAACAGGCGGCCACCTCTGAATTGATGACACGCCTCCAACTGACGCGGAAGTACTACAACGAGGCCATCCGGTTCATTGAAGTGCTTCACTCTGGATCCACCATCGTCACGCAGTTGCTCTCATCCCGAAACAAGAGTGAGGTTATTGAAGCCATGGATTTCTTTGTTGTTCTCGATGCGTACAAAATTGAGACTGCGCGCAGTGGGATTCGCCGTATGCTGCGCCTGATCTGGACCAAGGGCAACAGCGACGAAGGAAAGGGCGTCCAGACACATTTGATTGATTGTTACAAGGGCCTGTTCTTCGACGCACCTGGCTCTTTCACACCCAACGATGCTGCAAACTACATCGCCCGTAACATGATCAGTTTGACGTTTGGTGCAACTCCTGCGGAACTGACTTGTCTCGAACAGTTGCTCAGCACGATGATGAAGGCTGGAAACGTATCCGAGGCAGTCATCGCCAAGCTATGGCAAGTTTACAGTATCCAGAAGAAGGACATCTCACGGACGCAGCGCAGAGGTTCAATCATTGTCCTCGGAATGCTTGCCCTAGCAGATCCAGAGGTTGTGGTGAAAGAGATTGAAGCTATGCTACGCATCGGTCTGGGTGGCTTTGGAAGAGCTGACCTTGTGCTCGCTAAATACACTTGTATTGCTTTGCGTCGCATGATTCCGGGACGTCAAGCCAAATCAAATGAGGTTGTTGGCATTCCCAAACTCGCCAGCGACCATTCTGTTTTAGTCAAGCTGGTGACCATGCTTGAGATTGAGACGTCCAGCAAGGAATGGTATGGAGTGGCAGAGCACGCGCTCAACGCCATTTACACTTTGTCCAAGCATCCTGACGTTCTCTGCTCTGATATCCTTCGACGAAAGACTAGATTCGTCTTTGCGCCACATATTCAACAACGCCCAACTTCCTCCCATGCCTCTGTCAACGGAGAGGAGGAGCAGCAACCATCTGGGACTGCGTCCACCGAGGACCAGGAACCCAAGCCCAAGCCAGCATCTGCTGCACTCTCGCAGCTGCTGTATGTCGTTGGTCACGTTGCAATCAAGCAGATCGTGCATTTGGAGCTGTGTGAACTCGACTTCAAACGCCGCAAAGTCGAACAAGAGAAGAACAAGGCGGCCGCTGCCCCCCAAAAAGAAGACAATGCGGAAGAAGACGAACTTGATCTCATTGGCGGAACAACAGAAGACGACTTCCAGGACGCCATGGCCCATATCCGAGAACGTGAGCTACTGTATGGAGAGAAATCCCTCTTGGCTAAATTTGGCCCGCTTGTAGTGGAAATTTTGGCCAACAACAACTCCTACCCGGATCGTGACCTGCAGGCTTCTGCGACCCTTTGCCTTGCCAAACTCATGTGCGTGTCTGCAGAGTACTGTGAGAAGAACCTGCCACTCCTCATCACTATCATGGAGCGGTCCGAAGATCCTATCGTCCGTAGCAATGCTGTCATTGCGCTGGGAGACATGGCTGTTTGCTTCAACCACCTCATCGATGAGAACACTGATTTCCTCTACCGTCGTTTAAATGATGAGGATGACTCCGTCAAGCGCACCTGTCTTATGACCCTTACCTTCCTCATCTTGGCTGGTCAAGTCAAGGTCAAGGGACAACTGGGCGAGATGGCGAAATGCTTGGAGGACGACGACAAGAAGATCGCGGATATGGCTCGCATGTTCTTCACGGAGCTGTCGACCAAGGACAATGCCGTATACAACCACTTTGTTGACATGTTCAGTCTGTTGAGTGCAGAGCACAACCTGGATGAGGCGTCTCTCCGCCGTATCATCAAGTTCTTGATTGGGTTTGTCGAGAAGGTGTGTTTTTTCCCTCCCTTTTTAATTTGTAATGATCTATGCTAATGTTGGCCCAGGAAAAACACGCTCGCCAGCTGGCCGACAAGCTGGCCGCTCGACTTCCTCGTTGCGAAACAGAACGACAGTGGAACGATGTTGCATATGCCCTGGCTCTTCTGCCACATAAGAACGAGGAGATTACCAAGACCGTCAGTACAGGGTTCAAGGTCGTCAGTGCCACAGCCTGAGACTGATTTGAGATGGATTACGTGTTGATGTACTTAATGATTGGAGTCTGGCGGCGTTATGTCTTTGGATAAAAGATTGTAATTCTTTTTATGAATAGGATTAATCGTTCTATTGAACCTGATATGGACTTCACCCAGATGGACCTGGAACTGTTCTGTTCAATTTTGTCGTAATAACCACAACGGAACGGCATTCCAGCTATTCAAACAGGTTTCTAGGGAATGATGTCTAAGTATATGAGAATAAGAGTGTAACCAAAAAGATATAAAAAAGGGGGGGAAAGTAAAAAACGACAAAGAGACTCCGACTTCAATGTTCGTATGGTCGCATGCCAGATACGCCAAAGTTGCTTACACTGTCAAAAGGGAAACACAATTATATCTATGCGCCCTGCACTGTACTTTCTGTCAAAGCGAACTCGCCCGAGCGAATCCCCTGCAGGACCTTTTGTCCCTCGTCCGTGAGCTCTGGCTTGCCCAGCGGCGTCAGCGCGCCAGTGAAAAACCGGGGGTTCCACTCAATACCCTTTTCAATTCGTTCCGCAGCCCGCTGCCGTTGTCGTTCCTCAATATCCTGCTTGAGCTTGGTAGCCTGGTTAAACTGCCTATCGACAATGGCGGTTGTGACACCCGACCAGAACTTCAATGACTCATTGGATAGCTGTTCTTCGGATGGGGGCAAGGTCTTTGGGACGGGGAGAAGCGGGGTGATGTCGATGAGCAGGCGGGGCTCCTTAGTACCAACCGGAGTGAAGTATATCTTTCCATGCCATGAGCCGGTGATACGAGCGACAATGTCGCCATCTGGCACATCTTTCAGTCGAGTGATCGTATCCTTGTGCGGGTTATAACGGAAGATCGAGCCCTCGAGCTTATTCTGCGAGCGGCCGATCCAGCCCTCTTCCATGTACTGCAGGATTGCCTTCAGGCCCGTTTTGGGGCAGGTGACGTAGCATGTGTCGGCGACTGTGACTGAAAGAGCTCCGCGCAGTATGCCCCCCAGGTGGGCATTTGGGTGGGTCAACTGGTATTCCTCGTTGTCCCTCTTTTCGATATTTACAAAGATTCCGAGGTTGTGCTGGCCGGGACTCACGCGGATGCTGGTGCCCGTGAACTTGGCGCTGATCTGGTCGAATCCGCGCGCTGACACGCCTCTTTCAGGGCAGTCGATGTAGAATGCCGATACTGGTGGGTGGTGGGAGGTCTGTTCTGTGAGATAGCATACTTTGACTTTCTCATCGCTGTCAGTTACGGTAGGGTAGCCATTGGAGCTTGGTTTGATGCCGGGGAGGTTTGCTTCTTCAGGGATATTGTCGCTAACGTCCCAGCTGCACTAGATGGTGTTAGCAATGAATTGCCAATGAAATACCGGACACTAGTGCTCACTCTGAAGAATTCACCCAGGGTTGAATTGTATGGTTTGCACGGTTTTCCCTTGACATATTTCTGCAGCAAGATCAGTAAGTAGTCCAGTGAATCTGAGCAGCTGAAACCTACCAGATCCTTGGTAAACCAGAACCGTAACACCTCCAACATCCGACCTAGGTCATCATTCGACTTGCCAATGCTGTATGTAGCTCTTGGGTCAGCACACAACCGTTCGCCAATATTTGGGCACATTTGCTGACCTCGCAAAGGTTTCCGGTCGATCTAGGTAATGCCAGTATTCTTGTCGCCATCCGCAGTCAGCACCAACCCCGCACAGCGTAACACGTACAATGACCTACCCAGGTTTGGTCGAGGCTCCAGCAGTTGCGCTGGTAGTGAAAAGCGAACCGAAGCGATATCTGCCACACCGACGAACCTAATTCGCAATCATATTAGCATCTGATGTCTGGTTAGGTGTTGCGCATTGCAGCGGTGCGGGTGGGGGATCCATGGAAGGGTTGCCCTACTTTCGAAGAATGGAGAGGAAAGTCTTCAACTTGGAGGAATCATCTGGGGCCTTTTCAGGCACTGTGATGGCAGACATGATGTGTGTGTTCAAGCGATGAGGATTTGTGAAGAAAAAGAAAAGGGAAAGGAGAAAGAGGGAGGGAGGGAGAGAGAGCTGGGGGTTCAGTAGGAACAGAGAAGGTGGCAAACTAAGAGAGGTTGAAAGAGGGGAGGGAGTTTAGTGGCTTGGGTCTTGCCTCTATACCGAAACGAGGATGATAGTGTAATTCAACCTCTTTGAAGTTTCCCAAAAGTCCCGATTCGCGAAAGGTCACAGATCATCCAAGGAGGTACTCCGTAGAAGCAACTCAATAACATTCGAGGCGGTGACGTGTGAACTATTTTTTGCCCAGTGGGGTACCTCAGGCGTAAATCTCAAGATACTTTTTTTTTATTATATATACTAATATACTGTGTACGGCTATCATGTTTGTATATTGAAATGTCCTCCATAATGCTCCGTACGGAGTACAAAATAAGAATGTAAGGCATATTACTCAGTATATTTCTTATATAGTTACTGTATATATAGAATTGTGGCTGCCTACTACGCACATACAAACTATTCAACGCCGTGCAGATAAATTGAAGCCAGGAATACTATAGGTCATGTCACTACGTCACCACTGAAAATGACTTAACGGAGTACAACATAGAGAAAATAATAATAATAATAACAGAAATGGAATGAAAGAATTATAAGCCGAAAAAGGGATGAGATATAGAATGGTATCTAGGTGATTTGCTACATAAAAGGCCATCCAATCAATACGCCACGAGGGCGGAAAGCTCCTGTAGCTGTTGCTTCTGCGCCAAGCGTCGAAGCCATGTTCGCACTGCAGGCCCATAGTCAAACCGCCGTCCAGCTGCGTACTCGTCATCCGACCAATGCGACTGTTGCTCTTCACGAATACGTACACGAAGTTCTCGTTGACCCCTACTGATTGTCCGTTGATACGCTTGCAGTTTCTCATCGGAACACGTCTGGTAGTCATCAAGGGTTTCCTGAGGGATCACCGCTGCATCGATCTCTTCGCGTGTCAGAGATAGGGAAGGGTCAGGGCCAAGTACAGTTTCATCCAAAGCCAGTGCATCTGATGATGGGTGGATGGATGTGGCACGTTGATTGAGGATTTCCAAGGTTCTCACGTTGATAGCCAAGTCATTGATGAGATCAGGGAGAGGGTCGCGCACAAGTCCGAGGATTGAAAATTCAATTTCTTCTTCTTCGTATGCCGCCATTCGGTCCAGAAGATTGGGCTTCACCAGTTCCAACCAGTCGTGTTCAGAGCATTCCCCTACTAGAGTTAGTAGGACCATCCTAACATGTCGGTTGTGGTGCTCACCGAGTGCTCTTGGCTGTCGCTCTAGGCCATCAAACTTCCATAGCTGTCCCATCACGGGCATAAATGCAATAAAATGGAAAGTGGCATCAGATTCATCAACAGCCTGGCCCTTGGACCCCTTTTTTCTCGTGGTAGCTTCAGTCTTAAGCTGCAGATCTGAATTTAGAATGTCCATTTTTCTAATATGGAGTCAGTATTTGGGTACAGAATAAGGCCAAATGGCATACCGTGCATATGAGTTATGTATCCTTTTGACAAACTCAAAGTTGTTGATTGCATCCCCACGCAGAGCTGGGGTGAAAGGCATGGTGAATTCCTTGAAGGACCGTAGATTCTCTCCGAGATCAATATCTGGGATGTTGTTGACAATGTTTAGTAGTGCTACACTGGCACAAGCATTGTTGGCAGTCTGTATATATATTTATATATATATTCAGTCAGCAAGGAACTATTCAGCTAAAGAATAGGGGACGCTGACTTGGTTTGCGAACCACAGCCCATCAGGGCAAGTCGCTTCCTGCTTTCCGTCGTTATCTTCACGCCAGCGGAAAAGAAAAATCAAGCCATAAACAGGATTACTGCCCATTGTCAGTTAATGAGCCCTTACGTAAGAGGGCAGTGAGGGACTGCAACATACTTGAGAAATGCCATCATTTCTTCATCAAGAGAAACGACTTCTTGGATCTTTACTCCCTTGACCCCAAACTCACGTAGCATCACATTAAACAAGGCCTAAACGTTGTAAGCAAAGAACCACTGATGGCAAGACAAGCCAACATACCGGTTCTGATTCGATTTCGCAAAATCCATTCCAGCTGTCTTTTTCCAGACGGGACGCAGGCTGGCAGATGTCGTCGCTGAGATCTTCTGGATCCGTCAAGCGGCGCCTTTTAATTCGAGGACCCATCTTGGAGGTGTTTCCCCCCCCCTTCTTTAAACGGAGGTAGTGAGCTGTGGAGCAGTAGAGTAGTACAACCGCAGAGCTTCAAAATGAGATTGAAATGAGCCCTGAGATGATAATAGGTTTGCTCTTCTCCTTGCTGAATGGAGGAAAACAGAAATAGAGCCAGAACTTGGGTATTGAGCAATAAGAAGGGCTTTATAGAAACAGGTAGATAATAGATTGACAATAAGACGTAGATAATAAGACAAAAGACAATAACTTACCTAGTTAGTTAGTTAGTTAGAGAAAAAGCGGCTAGGTCATATGGCGTTGAGTGGACCGAGCTTCTACGCGCTTCCCGCGTCTCCAACTTTTCTTGTTTCTTTCTATCTGTTATAGACGCGAATTGCCACTGAATAGCTTCACACAGCTTCATTTGACACCATTTGACATCATTCAAACTTTTTACAGCTTTAGAAGAGCATTGCGCTCTAGCTACATCCCCTTCTTTGCCAGCTCCGGCAGCCACAGCATGCCATGAACGGCACTCCCCTCCTCTCGTCTGCCTTTCCGCAGACGCCTAAAACAATCCCTGGAACTGGAAGGAGAAAGCTCTTTGAGACTCCTTCGAGATCACAGCCACAAGAGACTCGGCCTGTACGAACGCCGCTCAGATCAGCATCCAAATCGGCCTCGAAAGTCTCGAGACTGCCACCCCCGAACGCGAACACCGATGTGCCACTGATCCCCACCAGTGTGATCGATGCTCCCTCCCAACGACTCTATGTCGTTGCAATATATTTTGCCCTAAATGCGTGGCGGATTTATGAGTCCTTGACCGCATCAGATGACCTAGATTCAACCTGGCTGTTGTTGAAATGGGCCACGATAGATGGAATTTTCTTGTTCGGCCTGCAAGCTCTACACATACCTTGGCTGGAGTGGGCATTCCCGACCACTCTCACTCTATTCCTGCTTCACGCTGTGGGAAATGTCTTTTTGATGTTCCGCATCCCAGTGAGTTCCCCCCCCCCCTCCCCCCCCCTCCTCTTTTCTTTTAGACTGCTTGCTGATCGCCCCCTAATACTTGCAGATTCCTTGGGCTGCATGGATTACTGGACTAGTAAAGGTGGCATACGATCGCGAATTATCCATTTCTGAGCGCAGGGTCAAGCCCGGCGATATCATTCACAATGCGTCATTGATCTTGGGAAGGCAAATTGTGCACATTCTACCAGAGGGGTAAGCTTTATCCCGTTCAAATATACCTACCTACACTCATGCTGACTTTTAATAGTTCCGCTGTCCTCAATCCGGATCGGAACTCGCTTTGCCTTGATTCTCTGCAATCCACAATCGACCTGCCCATCCGTGTCAACCAGACCGACCCGGTACTGATTGAAGTGTTGCGTCTGGATCTTAACACTGGCGAGAACGAAACAATTGCCATTCCGACAAAGCAGTTGAAGGCTCTCAAAAAGCAAGCGGAAAAGAAGCATGTTCCGGGTCAACTCCATCGTGACTTGCTCTTCCCTGTACGCAAGACTGGTGTCTATCGTCTTCAACGTGTGGTGGACGAGTCTCAGCTTGATGTACATACACGAACATTTGATGCGCTAGTGGTCTCTTGTCCGCGGGCCTTGATCAAAAATTCACACATCGACAAGTGCAAAGGAGAATTGTCTGACTTCAAACTGGAGGTGGAAGGCACGCCTCCGTTGAAGATCAAATACAGTCGCCAGGTTAACAATCTCGATCGTGGATTCTCGGTTCTCAACATTCAGCCCGATCATCTGCGCTCTCCGCTGCTCAATGGAAGAACTACTGCTGCTCTGTACAGCATCAACCAGCCGGATGTTTCATGGGCGCAGAGCCAAAATATTGAAGTTCCATTGAACGAATCATTGAATGACGGCGGAGAATGGGTTTACACCATCGAAGAGGTCCACGATGCTATTGGAAACGTGGCCAATTATTCCACTATCTTTGAGGAAGGAGACCGGCCGTCCACAAAGTCACAATCCCAGTGGTACCAGTTCTCCGTTCACGAGCGCCCACAGTTGTCACTACAAAACTGCAATGCTCAAAACCCACTGCAAGTGGCCAAGGGAGACAGCACAAGGCTCCCCTTGAGCTTCCATCCTGGTGGGCACGCATATACCAGTGATGGTCCATTTTCAGTCGGTTATTCGTTTACAGGCAACAACCAAGGAGCAGCACATGAACAGACCGTTGAACTCAAGCATATGAATCAGACTATGGACATCAAGGAGCCTGGTTTGTATGCATTGACATCGATCTCTACCAAATTTTGTCCGGGAGAGATCCTTGAGCCTTCATCTTGCTATTTGCATAACCCGCCTGAACCGGATTTGACAGTCAAGGCTGAAAAGATATTTGACCGCTGTGCTAACAACGCTATTGGGTTACTTGTGGATTTGGATCTCACGGGATCCCCTCCATTCTCTCTCCGATACAACATTGAGAGCTCCAAGGGGGTTGTTTCCAAAGTACAAACCATCGATGGAATGCGTACGCAGCTCGATTTCACCCCGTCGGAAGCCGGCTCATACACCTATCGTTTCCTGGACATAGAGGATGCTGTCTACTCGCCGCGATCTCTCAAAATACCGGTGCTTGAACAAGATGTGAAACCACCGGCTTCGGCTCATTTTTTATCAAGAAAATTGAGATCTGCCTGCTTCGGTGAAGCAATTTCTGTGGAGGTATCTTTCCTTGGAGAGGCTCCTTGGGTCTTGCAATATGAGATCGTCCACAATGGGAAGAGGCTGAAGAAGACACTGGAATCCGATACCGATGTGGCAACTATCACGACCGACAAACTGACCAGTGGCGGTGACTACACCGTGTCTCTGACCAGCGTCAAGGATAAGTCTAATTGCAAACGAACTATCAAGGACAACATTAATATTGAAGCCCGGTCACAACCCCCGCACGTCTCTTTCGGCCAGATTGACAAGAAGAGAAGTGTCTTGGCTTTGCAGGGCTCTAAGATTGAGATTCCATTGAGGCTGAGTGGCGAACGCCCTTGGACTGTCAAGTATAAGAATGTTGACATGAACTCGGCGCCCATTCAGAAAAATTTCTGGGACGAAAACAGTGTCTTGACCGTCGACAAGCAGGGCCTTTATGAGATCAGTGAAGTATTTGACGCCGCTTGTCCTGGAACCGTGGACCAGTCTGCAAATGAGTTTGAGGTCTCGTGGATTCCACGCCCTCAGATCACTGCCTTGGACGGTTCTCCCATTGGAGCCGCCAAGGAGTTTGCAAAGTCCGAGGTCTGTCAAGGCGACGATGATAGCCTCGAGGTTCGGCTGTCGGGCAATCCTCCATACAGTATTCAATACGAAAAACGACGCAAGGTGGACCGTGGAGGTTTCTCTTCGGCGAAGCCACGGGCTTTGAAGTCTGCCCTCCATGTGACTTCAATGGAAATGGACACATCCGAGGCTGGAGAATACAACTATAAGTTCACACATGTTGGCGACAGCCTCTACGACCACGATCCCAAAAGCAAAGCTTTGGTCGTGACACAAAAGGTCAACCCACTGCCATCCGCTAAATTCGACCAACCTGGTCATGTCTTTGGCTTCTGCAAGGAAGACATCAGCGGCGAGGAGTCCATCCCCATTACACTGGAGGGTGCCCCACCTTTCTCGCTAGAGATCAACATCAAACACCACTCGAACGCCAAACCGGAGATTGTCATGATTCCCAAGATTAATTCTAATCGCCACAGCCTGTTGATTCCTCGTCGCCATCTTGACTTGGGACAACACCAAGTCAGCATCCACAAGGTTCGCGATTCTAGAGGATGTCAAAAGACCACTGACCTCGATGCCTCCTCGGTGCGGGTCGCCATCTCCGATGTTCCTACCATTATCCCACTTGAATCCAAGGTGGACTACTGTGTGGGCGAACGACTTTCATTCTCGCTGTCAGGCCATGCTCCATTCGACGTGTTTTACACTTTCGACGGCGCCAAGCGCAAGGCCACTACTCAAACCTCTAACTTCCGTCGTATTGCGGAACTTCCTGGTCAATTCACGATCAACGCTGTCAGTGACGGAGCCAGTGGGAAATGTAAGGCCCACAAAGATATCACCAAGGTCATCCACGCTATGCCGAGTGTGCGGATCAGCAAAGGTAAAGAATCGGTGGTGGACATTCACGAAGGTGGAGAAGCCGAACTTCACTTCGAGTTCTGGGGTACACCACCATTTGAATTCACGTCAGTCAAATACCCTCCACCCAAGTTGTACCACAATCTGCTAACATTATACAGATACATCCGGAGCTCCAATGTCCGCAAGGGAAAGAAGTCCGAGATCCTTGATATCAAGCACGACATCTCCTACGAACACATCAAGACCATCAAGACCTCCGATGAAGGAACTTACGAGGTCATCGCAATCAAGGACAAGTTCTGCTCGTTCTCTTCCCAGACCCCGTCGGGTAAGTTAGATAGATGAAGCAGAGAAATCAAACGATGTGATGAATGTGGTGTAATACTTGGTGTTTTGATGAATCTTGTTATTTACCTTCTCTTTTGGCTCTATTGATTTTTTTTTTTCTTCCCAATTTGTTGCATTGCAGCGGCGTTAGTACTTCAATTTCAGATATCTCCATGCTTTCTGTCAAACTAATTCGACTTTGTCTCCAAAGACGGTATACCTAAGCTCTGTTGGTCTACTCAAGCCCAGCTATATCGCGAGACTGTTCTTATACGGGCTTCTCATTTGATAAATACAATCACGGATATTCTTGGAATCAAGGCTAAATTAAGCTATCAAGAAGCAATATGAGCAGTTGAGCTCAAGTGGGATCCAAGCTCATATATATGTAGGAGGTGTTGTAGATAGCACAAGCATTCTATTGACCAATCCAACATTCCAGCATCGTAGATCTCACATGTACCCTTCCAATTAGCTCTTTCGTAGCGTATGGCCACATGTGGACCTGTGCTTCTTGGACTGATTATTTTGCAAAGCTCACTGCACAACGCCGAACGGCGGTCTTTGCGCTCCATGGTTAGTATGAAAATATGACCACACAGTCCCCCGTCATTAGCGGCGCCCCGAGGTTTTTTTCCAGAGTTAATAGCAGTTTGCTGCTCTGGTCTGTAAAGGAATATGTTTAGCTTAAAGTAGTGAGAATGAGCCGGAAACGAACTTCATTATTGTATAGTCTTCCCCCTTTCGAAATTTAAACCTCTGCACACAGCTAGTACCTTCTGGCGCTTCCAACATTTCCATGAAGAAGTGAAGGGACTTGTTTGATAGAAGAATTGAAATTCAAGGGGTTAGAATTTTGGGAGAGAAAAGGAAGAAGTTCATATAATTATATATTAGAAATTAGGTATAAGCAGTGAAGGCTTTTATTATGAGTATTTACCCTTCCCGTTTGCTTCGTGGCAGACGCTCTTTTGGGGTTCATCCTCAAAGGCTTGGGCAGCTATGCCCATACGCTCCCTCAACACAGGCCATCCGCTACGTGGCCAACTTTATGCATACCATACAAGTCTCCCCCAACAGTTTCAACTCGCGGGGCTCGAGGAGGAAAAACGATGACGACGAACCAACAGGCCTTGCGGCAATGGATCTAGGTGTGGAAGACGATGGGCATTAGCCAATGACGAAAAATGAAGCTGCGAGACAAGAAGCTCCAAAACTGACAGGTATGTCGGGCAACTAGCCATGAATAACACGCTCTTTGAAAACCAGCCTCTATATTTACTCTCGGGAGGGATTCCAACTCGGCGTTTGACTTCGATGCTTCAACTGGATGAAGCGCCTGCATAGTCATACGCCACTAGTTAGACTGCAACAGGTTAATTGAACATTGATTGATCCCTTATCAACATTTTCGGTTTCGGTGTATCCATTCACTCGGAGTTTTGTCCTTGGAATGGATGTGGACAGAATGAGATGAGTTGAAAAGATGATGGGTTGTGAAGTTAAGGAAATATGTAAAGCTTTTGATATCTAGCGTGAGATACAGATCCGGAGGGGAAATGATTGGAATTTATAGACAAAGTGCATAGTAGTTTAGAAAAGTAGACATTGATTATTATCTGCAAATCCTTTCATTGCAAACTTCAATGTTCTATATAGTATTTCAGGTTTACAATTCTAATCTACAGCTCAACCTGCACGGCCACCATACTCTCCGACATAAACCCAGTGACAAAGAGCCAAGCAAGTTTCTTACTAGCCTTAGGCCGAATGGGCACCAAAACAGCCGCACTCGCAGTGCTAATCCTAGACCCGTCATCCTCAAACAGTATCTTCTTCTCCCAGACTCCAGTGCGCGAATTGAGAGTCATATACCATACCTGAACTGCAATGGGAACCATGATATTCGGATCCTTAGAACTACTCACCATACGAATAGCTTGCGAGACACCTGCCACAAGGTATCCGCTCGCATCATGCGAGTCAGTGCGGTATGGATCGTCGTAGTAGGACGGGTTATCCGCGAGAGCACCAACGGAGACCGAGGTATCGATGGAGATAGAGTGATTGGACTCGTGTTGGGTTCCGAGGAAGATCTCGCCGCCCATAGCACTAGAAACAATGATTTCATTGTCGGTGCGGCCGTGCCCGAGGCCATTGTTGTTCCATAGACCTTTCAACGCGACGGAGGCTTCGATGGGAGCGTCTTTGCTTGTCAGGTTGGCGATCTGCACGTGGATGATATCGGACCACTTGGCTGAGCGCCAGACGTCCTCGACGAGTCGCATGGGCCCGTCGCGGTAGGAGTGATCGTTGGTAACGTAGAAGGAGAGCGGGCTAGCGGCATAGATGTCGTTGGGAGTTTTGATGAGCGGGTGGTTAATTGAGCGTAAATGTCGGATGGAATCGGATTTTAGAATGTAGTGGAAGACCTCGATCTGAGACTGAGCTTTGGGGACGCCCTTGGGCTTGCCGGCTTCAAAGTATGCCGGGTTGGGCATGTGGTTGACGGCGTAGATATAGACTGCGTCCGACTGCTCGGGATCCTCGATGACATCGATTCCATGTGTCAGGAAGGGGCCTTGGAAGTTCTTGAATGCCAGACGAGTGGATTTCATAGTCTATCTAGGGGGTCAGTTCTTGGGGCTTTTTTTCTGTCTCTTTCTTTCTCAATATGTCCCGAACAAACTCACATTGGGATCCACAACATGGATAGAGCCTTGGGCTGTGCGTGGCAGCAAGTTTCCTAACGGCGGGAACCAACTAAACCGTGTGCTCTTGTCGTCCTCGCAGGCAGTGAACAGCAGGTTCGCTGGACGGTAGTGGTGAACATCCTCGCAGTGAATGGTGTCTTCAATGTGGATTGGGCCTTGCCCTTCACCTAGTACTGTCGAATTGGGGGTGAGAAAGATTCCTGTAATTTGCACAAAATGGCTTATTGGGCCAGCCAAAAAGGCGACTAAAGCAACGACGCTGAGACTGAATGTAGTGCTGAATCCCATGTTATTTAAAAGCAAATTCAGAATCACTCTATCAAGTGTAAATGAATACAAAGGTATAAATTGAAGAACATAGAAAGTCCATATTTATGGGTATCCATTTAACCCCTCACTAAATAAATTGAACCTCGGGAATATCCTACGAAGATCACTATTTTCTCTCTTGCAAGTCAACTTCACATAGATTCCAAGGTTCTTTATATAAATGAAGTATGAAAAGTGAAAAGCCGCTTTCTGTAGAAGGTTTCAAGGCCCCAAGGTTATGTTTAAGCTTATATGACACCTAAACTATGGGAACAGGACTGTAAACAACCGCAAACAGCAACTGCATTTGGTAAAAAAACTATCATAGGCAAAAAATGATGCAGACTCTTTTTTTCTTCTTTCTCTGTTTTCGTAGACCCAAAAAAAAATCACTCTCATTAAGTCTAGTCATGCTTGGAGTGACTAGACCTCTGCGGCAAAGTCCGAAAAGAAAAGAAAAGGAAAGAAAAAATAAAACAAGTAAAAAAGAGTGCACTGGTGCAAATTCCCAATCCCATATCGTGTCGTGATAATTTTCCCTAAACATTTTTCAGTTTGTGGACTGTTTGGCGTCAAGATATTCCTGATCACTGGCGTCAAGAACGTCATATTCTTCATCAGTCAGGAAACCAGTGTCAGCATCAGTAGAGGCATCGTCCAGAGTTAGGCTCTCAACGTCCTCTAGAACATCCCCTTCTGAAGAATTTGATAACGTCGGTGCCTGGGGTGCAGGAGTCTCGGCTTGGTGTGTGCTTGACTCCGGAGATTCCTTCTCCAGCTTAGGGAAAATCATGCCACTGCCGGCAATTTCAGACACCGCAGGGTATGCCTCGCTTGTGCTAGCTTCTTCCAGAGAAGCGTTTTGCACCTCGACATCACACCACAGACGGTGACCGATGGCCACACCATTAGGGAGTTTCAGACGCCAGTAGGAGATAGCAGGGCCTTCGTGCTGAGGGGTGCGAAGGTTGACAGTAAAGTCAGTACTCTCACCTGGCTCCACAGGGGTAGCCAATTTGTTGCTTTCCATGGCTGAGCGAATAGACTCGACGCTAGACGGGTGGCAGACATCGACGTTGAACATCTTGTCTCCACCGACGAAGCGCACATCACAGCCAGCGGGCCATGCTGCAGGACCAGGGTTATAGAGAGTCCAGGTCTGGCGGAACATGGTGTTTGGGGCCATCGTTGTACCGTCAGTGATAGTGTCACGGATAAAGAATGCCTTGTAGTCCGACATATCGGAACTATCGACCTCGGGATCGGGCTTGCCCATGAATGGCTGAGGCTCGAAATTTTCCACAGGCTTGCTGGCATCGACCTCAACGGGTTCCTGTTCCTCAAGCTCGGCCTGGTTAAGGAGCTGAGTGGAGGTATGAAGCTGGTCACCCAGGGCAACTGCTCCACTCGAGCCGTCGTCGCCCATGGTGCTCACAGTCACATTGCGGACTGGAGTATTGAACTTGACCAGCGGATGAGTGCGGTTGTGGTGGTCGGTCGGAAGGGCCTCGCAGCTCGCACAGAAGTCAGTGTCATCACAAACAGCGCACTTGTAGCGAACTCCGTTGATGTAACTCTGGGCAGGTTTGCTCTTGCACAGGGGACCATCACAAAAGATGCCATAGTGGATTTCCTGCTCACGAGCAGGTTCGCCGATATTTCCGTAAACCTGCACGAACCGATGACCAGGGTGGCTCTGAGGAGCAGTCAAGATGCAATCAGGGCAGAAGTCCCAGTCGGGGCAGGCCAAGCACTTGTGACGAACACCAACGATGCGCTAGCAAAGATTAGCCGACTTCCCAAGTAAGGTGAATGGGTGAATAAATACCTTGTCACAGCCGTCACAGACAGCGGCGTGTCGGAACTGCCGACCAGGAAGGCATCGAGAGGTGATCAGATTCTTCAAACAGAAGTTTCGGTCAGATCCAAGGTGGAAGGTGTGGCCAGGGTGGTGCCCATGCTTATTTCGGAGGAGGCAGCGAAGACAAAGATCATAGTCCTCGCAGTCATTGCAGCGGACGAGATTACTTTCATCGGATTCTGTGTGTTATGAGTAAAGAGAAGAGAAATACAAAATGGGCAAAGAGAAAACTTACCACGGCAGCATCCATTGCACATTGGCTTGTCATCACCCTGAACAGCTGCATCCAAACAAGCCGATGGGGCCACTGGCTCAGGGACCGACTCAGGGACCGACTGAGGGACCGACTCTGGGACATGGACCACTGGCTTGGTGATCACCTCGCGCTGAATCTGAGTAGATAGGATGGGGTTGAACTCCAGCACTGATTGATCACGAGGAGGAATAGTCTCGGTAGTACTGTTTGTGACGACGCCATCGTTGACGGTCCGCTTGATCAACCAGTGACCCTCGCCGCGGCAAGATGTGCCGGCACCGACACACTGTAGGCACAAGTCATAGTCCCCGTTCTCGCAAATACTGCAGTGATAATGGCCATTTGCAATAGACCGACCGCAGTTATTGCAGTCAATGCAGAACACTCCGTTGGACGAGGTGTGGGAGATGACCGGGAACTGATGCTTTTCTTGGTCCATCTCGAAGGGGCGGTAGCGAGGTTGACCCAGAGGCAACTGCTTCTCACTGGTGGGATGAGGAACCTGGACCGAATCGATGAGAGGGAGATTATCGGGAGATGCCAGGGGGCTCAGAACCGTTTCGAGATAACTGTGACGAGTGTGGTTGGTTGAATCCATCGGCACAGTGGGTTCTGATGGTACCGGTGTTGGTACGGATGTGTTTGGGGAAGTAAGAGTAGTAACCTTGATACGGAGCTTAGACTTGGCCTTGGCAGCGCGGTAGAGTTGCTTATAGACTGCAATGTTGTCACAGTCTAAACGGACGTAAGAACCAGCACTGTCAGAATAGCGTTCAAGAATGACGTGGGCATCCGCCGGAACACCGATGAGAGCTCTGAGCTAAACAAAAATCATTCCAGTCAGCTTGTGAAGAAGGGGAAAAAAAGAGAGAAAAAAACAAAAGAAGTGTATTTTTTTGTGTTAAGGTAGGCACAAAATATTTGGAAGATCTAAAACTTGATGTGATGATCGCTGAAGATAAGGAATGGAGCCGGACTACAGATCCGGAGCTTGAGCTTGAGTGGAGACTTACCATCTGGGGAAACACCTGGGCCTTCAGCTCCTTGAGAGGGACCTTGAAGCGACGGTTACTGTCATTGTAGAGTACCTTGACAGTAACTAGATGCTCTGGAACCGAATGAGAAGAAGTAGATGGGGTCGTCATCGTAGACGATTGTGACAGTCAAAGGGTGGATACACCTCTTGAGATAAGGAGCGCTAGGATTATGGGAAAAGACAAAATAAGCACTGAGTTACTGGAAGGGAAAAAAATGCTAGGGAAAATGATGATTTATGATGAAGAGGGAAAAGAAAAGCAGAGGAGAGTTAAGGAAAATGAGAGGGGAGTTGTACAAGAAGCCGTCGAGAAGGGAAAAAGCGGAGAGAATGGTCAGCTGCTTGCGAACTGACGAGGAAGGCGGTGAGTGCTTACTCTAGATTCCATAATAATATGACGTATCCAGAAAGCCGGACTGGGAAGATGCCAAGATTTACGTATACGGGGAGTATGTGCTTGGAAAGTACGGAGGTGTCTTATAACGGAATTAATGGACTTAAGGAATTACCTATAAAGTACTCCATACAAACGCTAGTTGTGTTTTTTTTTTTTAATATTTTAAATTCGTCTCAGAACGCCCTATAGAGGGAGTACTCGGAGTACGGAGTACAGAGTAATCAAATAGAAAACGCATGAAATATGATGTCATGCACTAATAATGCAGAACGGGGGATTCGATAGCCCGATTGGAGGATATTTGAGAGGGGGATTTGAAAGGGCTGGGCTAGAATCTCAATACATGATATTTCCCCTATGTGGGGAAAAGTTGGGGGGGAACGCTTAAATGCATCAAAATCCAGGGCCAAAATGACTCAATAAGACAAAATTAGGAAAAACAAAAAGCAAAACTTGGCTAGAGAATGTGTGGATGCAGGTTAAAAAGAAGAAGAAAAAAAGAAATGTTAAGTGAAAGATCCCTGTAGATCTTTGAGAGCTGAAAGAAAGAGAAATTTGAGAGAAATTTGAAAACAAAGAGAGAATTGGCGGAAATTGAAGATGTTGAGATAAAAAAACGAAGAAGAAAAAGAAGAAGAAGAAGAAGAAGAAGAAGAGATAGACAAAAGATTCATCACTGCCCATAATATGGACCCGATTGTTGAGGGTAATAGAAGGTCGTGCCTGGCGGCGTCATCATCCCACCCATGCCAACCACACCCCCAGGCCCAGACCCTTGTCCAGGCGCGGGACCTCCGTACATATGATTGGCATCATAAAAGTAGACGGTGCCACCAGACTCATGAGCAACAGTACCCGGTTGAGGGGGCTGCTCCCCAGCTGAATAGGTGATCGCTGGTTGACCCGGGAAGTTTGGCACAGATGCTCCAGGGCCAACGGGTCCATTGTAACCCGCATAATCGGGTCCCGAAGTCGGGTAGTATATACCTCCCGAAGGATAACTCGGAGGGTAGAAGCTAGGCTGATGGTAATTGTAAGGTTGGAAGGGCGGTGCGTGGATTGCCCGCTCCGGAATCTGAGAAAGCGGAGTGGCCGAAGGCTGACTGGGTGGGCCATGAGCTGGAAGAGGGACCTGATGGTGGAAGGGCTGCTCATGCTGGGGTTGAGGTGGGTTGAAAACGAACGGGAAAGTTGCCGGACTTTCAATGTCTGCAACAGAGACGGTCTTCTGAGGACGAGGTTGGTGCATGGGGATCGGGGCGGGGCGGCTTTCGCGATAGGCTGGGTGGGGAAGGGACATGGCCATGGCGGGCCCAAATGGCGGGATCCCTACAGGTGGACGAGGTGGAGGGGGGAAGGCGGACGACGGGCTTAGCGTCGGTGGGAATTGTGGGTCTGGAGTAGACAGACCCAGCAGGTGATGGCCACCCATCCTGAGAAGGTGGCATACCAAATGAAGATCGACGACTGACAACGCTCGGCGTGTAAGAGGAGTTGGGGTAGTAGCTAGGACGTCGTCCACTGTACCATCCGCCACCTCGACCACCTCGACCGCGAGAGACTTGGTTCGGCCGCAATGCGCGGGGGATGAAGATAAATGAACGTTCAACTGAGGGGAATATGTATCGGGGGGGGTTGGCTGGGAAGGGAAATTCGTACTGGCTTGTCGCGTCGCAAGGGGGGTCGATGTTGAGGTAGGCGGGTGTGGAGTCTCTTGGGTACAGAAGAAAAATGAACAGGACTGGCCATGCCGGGCAAGGAAACGACGACCGGTACATTCCCAACCAACGTCGTGCTAGAGAACGACCGGTTGGGCGGGGAAGATCTCGGGGCGGTGGGGACGGATGCGCCAGGATTAGGCATCGCGGATAATGTTGGGCGCTTTGCTGCAGGTCGATCCTCGCCAGCCACGGTATCGTGAAGGTCGTGTGCCCACTGTCCTCCGCTGGCATCGGGCTTGGAAGATCTGAATCATGTTAGTAAGAAACAGGATTCGGGGTTAGAAAAGGGTCATTACATACCTGCGAGAGCTGCCGTCTACGATTAGGCCGTAAGGACGAGACTTGCTCTTGAGTCGGTGACCGTTGTCGGTGGATCGCTTGTCATGAAGGAAAAAGCTGCCGCGAGTGGGGACGAAGGCTGGGTTCTGCTCTCGTTCCTTGACATACTTGTCAGTGTCGCGGCGCTTTCTGGAAGCCAGATTGTTTCGATTTGGTTCAGTTGGTGGGGCGGAAGGTGTTCTTCCAGTGTGTGGCTCCCGTTGCTCCTTCAGATCGTCGAAATGAACCTCTGCAGGGTCGCCCGCACCGTCTGAGATTTTCAGGCCGTTCAACATTACCTCTGTCTCCGAAACCGTTGTCTTGAGCCCTCGCTTTTCGGGTGATGCAGAGCTGTTCCGTGTAGATTTGTCCATCCCACGACCGTTGACCTTGCCCGCCTTGCCCAACGTAGAAACCTCGTCCTCGCTCTCTTCGCTGACTTCTCCATCTGCATCTTCGTCATCTTGGTGGCTGTCGGCCGAGCCTTCACTCAAGGAGTCGTCTCCTATGTCCCCAGCTACTGAGCCCTCTTCTTCGCCATCTTCCTCCCGTCGCTTTCTGCGGCTGGCCCCGATATGACGTCGAACAGGAGCCATGTTGGACATTCAAGGGATTAATCACTTAGGGGTAGGTTAAATCTTCCCTGTCGATATGCTATTGACTGAGTTGTTATCGGGGCGAGTTTGGCTTAGGGAAGGAAATTTGGGAAGAGCAGTGGGTGTTGAAGGACGATAAACCGGTGGAATAGCAAATGAAATCAAGAAAGGTCAAAATACGAAGATAGGCTAGCAGCAACAAAAAGACACCTTCTGTAAGAAGTCTAACCAAAATGAAGAGGAAGAAGAGGAAGAGCAAGGGGGGAGAAGAAAGGAGATGCAGCCCAAAAAAGATGAGAAGCACAGAGAGATTCAAGTTCAGAAGAAGGGCATGACATCGCAAGAGACGTCAGGCCTGATCGGGCCTAGCTCAGGCGGTGAGGCTGTCTATCCCAGGCGGTGAAGCCATTTCTGCCAGGATTGGGCCTAGAATTGTTTTCTAACATTGAAGGTTACTTGATTTGGTTAGTGTCTAGCCCTGGAGCGAACTAAATATTGACAACAAGAATAGTAGACTGCTCATGCGGCCTCTGTCCTTGACGACGTAGGTATATTTGGTCAAAGATGATTCATATTTGGGAATTTATATATAAGCACACTCCGATGTGTTTTTAGAAGGTCTTTTATATAAAATATTGAGGTTATGTTCAATGGTTTCTTGCTTTTTGGTAAATTCGAGGTTACGCCCTAATAAGCACACCGAGTGCTCTGGTATCCGGAAGTATACATGCATTTTTCTTGCACATTCTGCAAGCTGGTGCCACCGAGTAGTGAACTCGATGATCATGGATATCTGAAATATCGTACAAATATTGAAAATTATGGCCCAAAGTCGCGCTTGAGGTCATAGGGCAGACCACGGTCGGAGTTTGATTCCAATGCTACCTCGATTGCAGGCAGATCATTGACAGGTATCAGAATTTTACTGGTCCATTTGTGTATGAGACAATTGAACGGTCCTGTAGGAAGACCGCAGATGATACTCCACGAACCGCAGATGAATAACTTAGTCAAACGTGGTCTTCTGACCTTGGGCCTCAACGATGGCACCACTGAGCTTCTGGACGGTTTCCTTGGAGTAGCGAGATTCATCGATGGGTTCAGGTCTTTTCTTGTTGTGTCGGGGTCTTTCTCGTGATTCGCCATCGACCTCGGTGATAGAGGGTTCATCCTTCTTCTCGGCATCCTTTCCAAAGCGCTTCTTGTATCGCACAGACGCTTCTTCGGCAAACTCCATTCGCATACGGCGACCCATGAGTTGGTTCACCCAAACCCTTTGCATCCGGGGCTTTAGATTCTTTGACTTCTTCTTCTTCGTCTTCTCCGATGCCGAGTCGGAATCAGAATCACTGTCAGAGGAATCCTCTTCCTCGTCATCCTCCTTGATTAACATGAATCCTCTCACCGCTGCTTCTGCGGCAGCGAGTTCTTCGAACTCCACCCACGCATAACCCTTGCATTTTCCTGTGTCTTGGAAAGTCGCCATATGCACGTTGGTAACAGTCCCGCATTTGGCGAAATTTTCCTCCAGGTTTTCCTTGGTCACATCGAAGCTCAGGTTGCCGACAAAGACTCGCTTGGAAGGAGGGTGGCCAGATCTGGCCGCGGCATTTTCTTGGGTCTCGGATTTCTCAGGGCGACCTTCATAGCTGTTTGCATCCTTAATGAGCACGCGGCGGCCGGCCATGAGCTGCTCGCTTAGGCCAATTGCTTCTTGCAAAGACTTCTTGTCGGTAAAGTCAACGTAAGCAAAGCCTTTGTTCTGCGACCTTCCAAATCTTTCAGGGCCCTTGGGGAGATGAATTCGAGTGATATCTGACTCGGAGATGTCAGAGTTGACTGTGAAGAACATGCGCAACTCTTCAGTGGTCACTGCGAACGATAGGTTTCCAATCCAGATACCATATTTGGACCGCTTCCCCTCTGTTTCAGCTTCTTTCGATTGGGGTTTGCCGGACTTGCCGGACTTGGGTTTTTCATCATCGCCCGCATCGCCTCCTTTATTCTTTTTCGCTTTGCGCAAAGCCTTTTTTGAGACTGGCTCGGGTGCAGAGACATCGATTTCAAGCTCGGGGCCATCCTGCAGCTTGCGCTTCTTTTGACTGACTTCAGTAGGTTCTGGCATGGTGCGAAAGATTTAAATTGTGATTACTAAATAATAGTCAATCAGAAGTCTGAGATAGTTCTCACAGGAAATCAGATCGACAATAATTTAATTTTTTTTTACGGCGGCCAGGACCCGCCTCCCACGCAGCCCGGATCCGCTTCTTGGCACGAACGCGCAGGGTGACCACATCCCCCTTCATCTCTTCTGAACTTCTTTCTGCCATATCACCATGGCAGAACCAAACGACGGCCCTTTTACCGCAGAAAGTTTGCCAAATGTGCCACCTTCTGTACAGGCTCCTGCAAAGCAATCAGTCCGGTCCTTCAAGTACGAGTCCTCACAATCAGCCCACCAGACAATGCTGACTTTCTCTCTTTTCTCTTTAGAAAGAAATATGCCAAGCTGAAAGTCAAGTTCGAGTTAGGAACTCGAGAGAATGAGAGCTTGATTCGGGAAGAGTTGCGCATAGAAGACCTGTCCAAGCGCATTCAGGAGCAAAATGAGTACGGGACTTCCAAATCCCCCTGTATGAATAATCGCTAATTTCTCGGTGCTAGTCAATTGCTGGAGGTTCTCCTTGAGTTCAACGAAAGCCTACATGTTTCTCCCGACGTGCGATTCGATCTGAGCATGCCAACCGACCCTCCCTTGCTACCAACCCCCGAGCAGGAAATTGTACCTTTGATCAACGATGCAACACTCGCGAAACAAGCATGGAAGGAAGCCAAAGCCGGCTTGGCTGCTGGTAGCATTGATACGAGTGCTTATCGTATGATTGAAGATAACATCAAACGAAACAAGGCGTTTGCCCCAGCCCAGCAGTATAGCTCCCTGTCACAGACCCATCACATCACTCCAGAAATTGTTGAAAAGAAGCCTGACAATGATTGTGAACGCAAACTTGGATACTTTACACCCGAGCACGAGACTGAGTACTACCTCGCCTTAGACGCTAAGCTAGGCGATGAAGCGGCTGCTACGCAGCTTGCACGCATTCCAGATCGTCCCACGTTTGCGGAACGTGAGCGTGATCTTTCTATGCGAAATCCCGCATCGGTATACAATTGGTTGCGTCGCAACCAACCCCAGACCTTGCAGGATAATGAGATTGCTTCTGAAAAGTCTGCATCACGTCCTTCCAATCAACGATCTTCCAAGCGAGCGCCGGCTCAGCGCAAAGACGAGGATATGTATGACGAGGATGGAACAGAGGCCCAGCCTACCCCCAAGAACAAGCGCAAGCGTGAAGAGGACACTGGTTATAGGCCCAAGGGCGGTAGCAGCCGGTCGAAAAAGAAGAAGGAAGAGCCTACTTCGAATCCAAGCAAAGTGACCAAAAAGCCTTGAGCAAGCAGTTTGCTTTATAAAGGGAACTCATTTTGTGTATTAATACTGGCGTTGGATTTATTCACTGGCTTCAAATGTGATGATTGATCATTGGCCTTGTGGAATTTTAAATATAGTTATATGAATATGTAGTCTCTATGAGATTTCTAGGTAGCTCCAATCCAGATTTTGTATTTTCTCTTGTCAATATCCTTCGAAGTCCATGGTTATAGTGGAGCTATCATGTGACCTGGATTTTCTTCTCTCTGGCAACCCATACGCTCTCCACTCCCATTTTGAAGTCAACTGCAATCAATCACAGACAACATCTTTTGCAATGGCAATTACTATTCTTCCCCCAGTGGTGGAGGATGCCCGTCCCTATGAAGTCAATTCAGATGACTCCATGTCCATGGACTCCGAGGACGACGTCGAAATGACTGGCATCTCTCGGCCTCACAAGCGACCCCGTTTACAAGGAAACTCGAATATTGGCACAGGAATTGTCACACCAGGAGAAGTGGTCACAGATGATCCACAATGGATGAGGTTGGTGCGACCTTGAAAACTGCGCCAAAACAGAAACACGGGGCTCATATCCTCATTTTTTCAACACTAACAATCTACAGAGGTCACGGCACCTATATGAACCCGCTCTCGACATCTATTATTGCCACCGTTGCCGGCACAGTTCAAAAGACAAATAAGCTACTTTCTGTTCACCCTCTGCGCGCCCGCTATACCCCGGAGATTGGAGATCTGGTCGTTGGCCGCATTGTCGAAGTGCAATCACGACGGTGGAAGGTCGACGTCGCCGCGCCACTACTCGCACAGCTCCCTCTTTCCGCAATCAACCTTCCAGGCGGTATTCTACGTCGACGAACAAGCGCCGATGAGCTCCAGATCAGAACATTTTTCAGTGAAGGTGACCTCGTAGTTGCCGAAGTGCAGAGCGTGCACCAGGATGGGTCGGCGTCACTACACACACGGTCCTTGAAGTACGGGAAGCTACGCAACGGCGTGTTCCTTGCCGTTACAGGAACAGGAGGCAGCGCAGCGTCTACCTCTAGCGTTAAGGGTGGTGTTGGGGCTGCGACTTCGTCTTCAGGCAGCGCCTTGGCTGCTCCTGGGGGATCTGGTACTGGCGGTGTAGTGCGGTCTCGTCGACAAGTGTGGACAGTTCCCACTGCCAATGGTGGTGGCGAGGTGAATATCATCCTTGGAGTGAATGGGTACATCTATATCTCCAAGCATACCGATGGGGCAGATGCCTCGTCCACCGGGAATGTCTCCATCACGCGCATGGAAGAAATGGTGTCGAGTACAATCTACTCTAGCCAGAACGACGATATCCCGCCACAGACCCGTCGGGAGATTGCACGGTTGGCACAGTGTATTCGAGTTTTAGTACAGAGCGGAGTACGTGTGGATGAAGAGACGGTTATGGGTGCCTACAATGCTAGTCTGCAGGTGGATCTGGAAATTGGGGACGATGAAGACGAGGAAGATGAATGGCGACAGGAAGGTCGTGAGTATCTGGAGGGCGCCAAGGCGCAACAGATCCTCGAGTTGGTGAAAACGCAGCTGTAGCAGGTTCTAACTACTAGGATGTATGATAATGATACCCCTCAAACAAAGATCTAAGGGAACAATTAGCAGGCGTAATGTCAAAGTCCATGTCCAAATCACAGTATGAAAACTATTAGTCATAGCAGATTCACTATTTGAACGTCTCTTATATCTAAAGTAAGTAGATGGTGGTATTTGATCTTAGATCGGCTTTCATAGCTTCATAATCTGTAAGTGTTGGAAGTGGAAGCCTCTGTGTAAGTGCACCTATAAGCAATTCAAAATTTAGGGATCAGATTTGGCCAACCAAGTCGCTGTATTTTGTTATGACTCGATATTTTATGCAGATTTATGTGTTGATGAACAATAATGAGGATGAATAGTTCTCTCAAAGAGAAATAGCTAGAATATTATAGTTCGCCTAGGCAGTCAATAGCACAATAACATGAATAATGATCTGAACAATAACCAGAACAATAGCATCAATAGATATCTGATTGGTGGAAAGGAACAAATAAATCTGATAGGCTTACATACGCAGTCACGAGCCTACCTTGTAAACGTTTAGCATTCTATTGTTCCTTTGTTCTTCTATTCTTCTCTTCCCTCCCTTTCTCACTGTACTCGAATCTTGAGAACATGCCAAATTACTTACTTCTTTCTCTTCTAATTTTCGACTATTGTTTAGTACCCATAGGTTAATCTTTTATTGGCTTGATCCTTTTTCGATTACTTTGACCCCACACTGGGTTCCAATCTACTCCATCTCTTTCAAGGACTCTCTTCTATCTATCATCTCATACTTCAACATGCCCGATCTACGTCGCCAGGTCTTGGAGAGTGGCAAGACTGTCTCACGCAAGGCAGCTTCCCGTGAAGCATCCCGCAACAACTCCCCCGCTAGTTCGAAGCCAGCCTCGCGTCAGGGCTCTCGCAATACGAGTAGAGCTCCTTCGGATGAAGAAGATTCTGGATTTCTCTCTGATGAAACATCTATGAGGTAAGTGACGTATAACCCCTTGCACTTTTTCTTTTCTTTTTTTTTCCCGAGGTTTTTTTTTTGTATCTTCACATGGTCCCCACTCCCGTGGCGGGATGATGTCACCAATGATGTCGGCAAGTTTTATAATCAAGGCACTAACCAAAGTGGGAATAGCATCGGATCTCTTGACGATGAGAATCCCGAACAAGATAATCCCGATTGGGAACATGACCTTAGCCAGCGCATACAAGAAATCCTCGATCGCAAGCGCAGCAGTGTTCAAGGCCGCGAAGATGCCCTGCAAGCATTCTGCCGCCTGACCAAATATCACTACACAGTGGAAGAAATTCATGGTGCCGTCCCAGACCTACTGGCAGCATTTGAGCGAAGCGTCCGCACCGAGGTCAGTGTGCGCGAAGCAACTCTAGGTTTGCGCGCTATCGAATTGCTTGCCATCTCCGCTTTCGATGGCACTGTTTACGAAAATACCGAGCCCTTCCTTACCCGCACCATCCGCGACTCCACCTCCCCTCTTGTCAAAACAGCCGCTATTCACTGCCTCGGGGCATGCACTATCTTCGGAGGTGCCGGTGAAGATGGCATCCTTGAACATATGGGTTATCTCCTGGATATCATCGCCTCTGACGGCCAATCCATCGATGCCACGGACGACCCCTCCATTGTGACCGCCGCGCTCCAGCAATGGGGATTCCTCGCCACCGAAGTTGATGATTTTGAGGAAGAAAGCGAAGAAGCAGTCCAGATCTTCATGGATCAGCTCGACAGCTCTGATTCAAACGTGCAGATCGCAGCAGGCGAGAACATCGCCCTACTCTATGAGAAGAGCTACACCCCCCAAGAGGAAGAGGAAGACGAAGAGAGCACAGATTTAAACGAGGACAGCGACGAGCACGAGCATGATGCCACGTCCGGTCCCAAGCTCGTGAAACGATACAACGCTTACCACAACACTCCGGAGCTGGAGAGTCAGCTTCAGAACCTGGCTACCATCCACGGCAAGCAGATCAGCAAGCGTGACAAGAAATCACTCCACAGCAATTTTGCATCCATCCTCACCACTGTAGGGAACCCACGTCGCGGTCCTCGCTATAATACCGCTATCAACCAGAACACCAATCGCCATTACGGCAGCACTCTCACTGTCAAGATTGGCCGCCACGGAGTCATGGCTATCGACCGCTGGTGGAAGTGGGTACGACTCAATGCTCTGCGCCGCATACTGCAAGGCGGCTTTTCCGAACATTATTTCCAAGGTAACCGTGCCGTCCTCAACAGCCTTCCTGTCATGATGCGCATGGCAGACCAGGGTCATGGCTCGATGGACCGCCAAGGTGCACGCAAGGCAGCCAAATTTCGCAACGCGCGTCGCTGGACTACTCATCAGTCTGATGATGAGGAGTAAATGAGCGCCTTGCATGCTCACGCCGGTGGTGGCTCGTAATCGAATGATGCATAAAGAGAAGGAATCAGATCCTTTTTAGTCTTTTAATTGGACATGGGATACAACAGCGTAGGGTTTAATACCACTGTGGATAAAGGATATCAGTTTCGCATAAGCCTCAGTTTATGAGCTTTATTTTCAGTTTCTCTCTTTGTTGTTTCTCTGCCTTTCTGTTGGCTTTTGTCCTTGTCTTTATCCGCTTGACTTGCTTTTCATGATTCAATACTCAGGCATTTGTGCCTACATGGACAACGAAATGACACTATACATCAAGCACTGTTACAATATTCAGATATTCATAAACTGTTCAGGAGAACAAAAGATCCAAAGAAGAAAAAGTCCGTATTTATGTTTATATGGAGTGAAGAAGGTCCCGCCCAAACACCTCGCCCACAGAGCGAAGCCCCATCCCTCCTTGATAATCTTAGTCTTGCGTGTCCAATAGGATAATATAATAATCAACAAAACAACCAAAAAAAGGCTAACCAACATCAACAACCGTCCGGTCTAACTTTTAAACCTCAAATACAGGCACGACATTAGACCAGCTCCCCCTAGCCCTCTCGTCCCAATATCCATCCTTCCCACCCTTAAGCCGCCAAGCAACTTCCCCATCAGAGTCATCACTAATCTGCGTGAACCAGCGTGGAACCCAACTCTCCCCAGCATTTTCCATATCGCGTCTGCGCGCACGCTGTCCCTCCTCCAGCTGCACCTTCACCTCCTCTGCACGGTCGAGGTCACCGTCTTCCAGCGCTCGCTGGTCAGGACGCAGACGTGAGTCCGTGGCAGGCAAATGCTTATCCTCAATTGAGGTGATTTCATTCAGCGTGGCCGCAAAGGAAGTGAGACCGTAGTGTTTCGGCGCAGAGGGGACAAGCGTGCTAACGGTCCAGATAGTGTTGCCGGTGGGGTTACCGTCGCGGGTGAGGATCAGCGAGGAGGGCCAGGAGCCGGATAAGCCAAGGGTTAAGGGGTTATTGTTTGCGTCAACCGCGCGGGTGGAGACTTCCTCACTACGGCCGGAGAACATGCCGCCGGCTTTGAAGGTTGAGATGGAGCGGTGACCTGAGGACTCGTTTGTCACAGCTAGCTCGCCGACGGGCTCAACGTATTTCTCGCCTGCGATGATGTTGCGCAGGAAGGATGTTGCGGGTGTCCAGCTGTAGCGGTCGCCTGTGCTGTGTAGGGTAATACGGACACGGCCTTCGGTTGTGATCTCGGCGGATTTGCCCCAGAATTTCTGGCTGGGCATTGGGGACTGCGAGAGGCTCCATTCTTTGCTGTCGGCTTGGTAGGCTAGTTGCACAGGTCGGTGTGAGACCTTCTCTGCGATGAAGCGGAAGCCTCGGTCTTCGCGAACGAGCTCGTAGGTCTCGCCTAGCATTGGGTTGAATGGTTTGCGGATGGAGCGCTCGCGGACGCGGTTGCTTGAGAGGGAGGATATCGCGAAGGCGGTTACATACATTAGGCGTTCGATGGGGTCGGTCGATTGGGTGGCGCGGTCAAGTAGATTCGAGTACTCTAGGACCTCGGCGGCGCGTTGCAGGAGAGACATGGGCTCGTTTGCAGACACAGGCATCGAGATCGTGGATAAGTCCTTCCCGACGTTCTTGCGCAAGAACCCAATCAAGCTGGGTGGCAGGACTGTTGGGGCGAGAATGTTCGCGCGGCGTTGTACGGGATCTAGTGGCAGCGGAATCAATGATTTAGGTTTGACTGGAAACAGGCCTGATGCGCTGCCGCTTTCTTGGCGAGTTGCTGCCGCGTCGGATTCACCATCGCTGTCAGAGGGAGCGTCATCCTCGACTTCCTCGGCAGCAGAGCTAGGCCCGCCCTCTTCGGGCCCTTCGTCGTCGCTGTCACGGATGGTCAGGAGTGGAGACTTATCACCACCTCCATCTGTTGCATCAAAGAATTCTTGCGACATGTCAGACTCCATGCTCCGCCGGGGAACCATAGCTGGCTGAGGCGGGTGCCGTCGCTCCTTGCTCTCGGTAATCAACGTGGAGAACTCAGAGACCGCATTGTCAAGATCGCGTAGTACCGCTATTAAATGGTCATGTATCTCATCCATGGGATCTGTGTGACTTGTGATACTGCCGGGCTTCCCCTTACTGTCAGTAGCAGGCACCACAAGCTGCGAGGAACTGGAGTTCGTAGTTGTGGCCGGTGGGCGCTTGCCGGTGGCTTGCGACTGTCCACTTGTCTTGCGCTTCCAGAACGACCGCTTGGTCTCTGTCTCACTGGGGGCAGTCTCACGAACACCGGGCTCAAGACTAAGAGACCGACCACGCGAACGAGGCCGGTCAACAGGAGTTGGGAGCGGCGAGGCGAGATACTTAGGATCTGTATCCTTGGCAAGCCGGCGTATCGCATCTCGCGATCCGGAAATATGGCCGACAAGGCTCTCAACGCGGGTCCATTCACTTTCCTCTGCTGGGGAGGGCTGTAATGGAGCATAAAGCCGCAGCTCCGGAGGTGCGGCTAGGTTTTTGTCCTTGGAAGCTTCCTTGGAGGAAGCTCTCTCAAGGGCACGCTTCCACGCGCCAAATTCATGCTCGTTACTGGCACGCAAATGCCAGATCTCAGCACCAGAGTCAATAGAAATCTCACGGGACTTTTCATTGGTCGCAACGGCAGCTAGCGACAGCGGGATCGCGCCTCGCAGTGCAGACGAGTTGCGGTCATGATAATATGACAGCGTGCACGAAATAAAGTCCAGTGAAAAGAACCGGCGTGCCCAGCCCTGGTGACGCTTTCGTCGCCGCTTCTGCAACAGTCCGGTGTGGACATTTTGGTTTGACACGTCGACGTGCTGCGAGTTGAGTGTGGCTCGACTGTTGCCTCGTCGGCGAGTCCTGGGCTGCGGCAGCGACTCAGTCGATGCCCCTTGCTGAGAACGTGAGGTGGCAATCGATGCAGAGCTATGTGGCTGAAGGCCGGTCGGATAGGTGAGGAGGACAAGTGTCAAGGTTTTAGAGATTTGTTTGGAGAATGTATTATCAAAAACGAGCGCATAGTTGCCCCCTTCGCTGAACGGTACATCGTAAGTCCCTTGGGTAATCTTATCTGCCTCACACTTGCCCGTCCATTTGATTGGTTTGAGCCCAATACCCGTTAGCTTCTCGATAACGGCAGATTGTTGTTGCCGTGCGCCGGCGGCCGTCGTTGTTGCGGGGAGGTTCTCGGTGGAATCGGTGCTCTGGGAATCGGAGGCAGGAATATGGGAGCTCAGAGCTGAGGATTGGCCTGGGTGTTTGAAAATGCCAAAGTTGACGGACTTCTTGTGAGGTTGAATACTCCAAGAGATGGTATGGTTGGCGCTGACATTGATCCAGCGTACAAAATAAGACTAGAGATATTAGTTGAGACCTAGACTTTTGCTGTAACAAACTCTACCTTGCTGTGAATCTCCAGCTCTTCCATGGCCGCCATAATTGCACAGTGAGGGGTTGAAAGAACCGCAATGTGTCCGTCGCGGTCCGGGTGCGGCTGAATGTGGCGATGCGGGGAACAAGCCACACTATACAACTGATGTCACAGGAACATACGGGAATTGGGGATTTGATTAAGAGAGGAAATATAAGATGAAGCAAGAAAAAAAAAGCAAGAAGTGACAAGAAAACAGGAGAGGGGAAAGAGTGGAACACATTGAAACCGAGGTCGATGATCACATGGTAGATCTTGTGCCTTCAGATGTCTCTCTTCACTCTTTCAATTTATGTATACAGCCGCCTATACAGTCTCGAGCTAGGTTATCGCTTGAAATTCATTGATATTGGTTACATGCCCGATGCTAAAGGTGTATCGAATTAAAAAAAAAAAAAAAAAAAAAAAGGTAACTCCATCCCATCTTTTCTGGGATTTTGGGATTTTTGGAATGATAGATGATAGTACACTGTACAGACGAGAAACACTCACACTCATCTCCGGCCGCCCTTGTTCATGTTGCTGAACATCAGCTTGAAGCCATTACACAGAGCATGCATGTCCGGGTAGGGGTTCTTCTGCAGTTCGTAGCCCTGTGGAATCACCTTGACCGGCCAGTTCTGAAGTCGCGCATGCTCGCCTGCCTTGAAGCAAAGGAAAAAGTAACCGGGATATTTGGCATTGATGCAGAATGCATATGCCGAGCGGCGAGGATTGGCCTTGGTATAAGTCTCGAGCCATTGATCTATTGGATGTTAGTTGGATGCTAGTTGGATGGACAAATTGTCAAGAAAACATACCCGTCTCAGTCTTATTGCCCTCTTGAAATTTCTCATGCAGCACCATCTCGCTCACTTTCTTAGCCATCGCTTTAACATGATTGACGATCAGGTCATCCAGGTCACTGTATGTATACCGACCACCGACCTTGAGGACACGGCCGACAGAGAACTCGTTCTCTTTGTCCAGCTCGAGAACATCAATGTGCTGGTACACACCTTGCGCCACCTTCCAAGTGACAGCCAAGTGGTCGTGGCCTCGGGAGGACGGGCGAATAACAACATCGCCTGGGCTTTGAGAGCCTAGGAACTCCTCGGCCTGGGTGGAGTTGAACGGCCGGAAAAGTGGGTGCTTGATGACACGCATGGCTTGGCCGCCACGCTGCGTCTTCTCCTGCAGCGACTCCTTATCGGCTCGTTCCTGTTGTTCATCCCAATCGCCGAAGCCGTGGTCCTGGTTTCGGCGAGCTGGATGGCTGACTTGATCCTCGCGCAGAGAGGCGTTGCAAGAGAAACCCTTGCGGTTCAAGAACAAGATCTTGGCCGGCACAGTCTGATGAACTTGGTATGCGTTGCGTACAGGAATATCGTAGGGGACACCGAGTTCGGTCTCGGCCACAAGCACATCAACTCCGCAATCCAATTTGGCCTCAATGTGATCTTCAAATACCCGCTTGATGGCAATGGGCACCACCATACCAGGTATTAAAGAGTCGGGTGTCTCGCCAGTAAGCATCGTGAAAATATCGT